TTGCAGTGCATCACAACACAGTGTCCTGTGCATTGTATTGCAGGAAAATGTAGCCTGCCCCATATTCCGTGTGGTGAGTTACAGCATATTTGTTTTGAATGGGTTGTTTATCGCAACATGCACACTGTGTTGTCTGCAGTATGAGATCATACATCCGTAACAATGAACCAAATATCATTCCTTGGTCATAGATACCTAGAACACACATTTTGCCAATTCTAAGGTTGCTGTGTTACAGCCACATGATTTACTCCCTGATTGTCGTGTTAAATTGCCTTTAAATGTGTTTTATGCGGTGTGCGGGGTTTTTTTTTTCTTTTTGTTTTTGTTTTTTTTCTTCTTCCTTTTTGCATTTTGTCAGTTTTCTTTATGTTCTACATGTGCCTTTCTCAGATGCATGCATGTAGAAAGAAATTTCTTTTTAATATATTTAAAGATAAAAAAAAGCTGTACAGCATGCAGAAGAGCCGTGTTTATACATGCAGGAGGCTCAGGCCCGCTATACAGCAACAGCAGCTACCAGTCTGTTGAAAATCAAGGACAGTTCACCAAAGGCAGTGGCTTCACGGGTCCTCCTGCTCATTTGAGTGTTTGTATCTATACAGGGACAGATGTACAGCTCTGGACTCAGTCTGTCTGGAACATCTGTGCTTCCCAGGCATACATGCTGTATGGGCCTCTGCGTCCATGTAAATGAGCGCCAACATTGGACTTGGTGGTGTTTCTTTTTCACCAGCATTATTTGTTTTGTTCATGTGATTGTTTTACAGTCTTGTTTAGAATATGTCTGATCTTTCAGGAGTCTATTTGAATTGCTGCTGTTTTTTGGAAAAGATGAATTTTATGAAGCTCCTTTGAAAGACATTCTTGGCTCAGTGCAGGTAATTATTTTTGTTGTACAATTTATTACGCAGATATTCTATATGATTCTAAAGTGCGAGCAGCAGTGCTAGCGAAAATACTTTATCTTAGGAGTTTATCATAACATGTATGCTAAAATAGCTATGGGCTGAAGTCTATGTAGCAGCTGTAGGGGTGGTGCCTTGCATTGTCACACTGCAAAAAAAATTGTTTAATGTGGCTTTTTTTTTTTTTTTTTTTTTTTTTGCTTTATTAAAATGTGACAAAACAACATTTCAGTTCTATGCACCACAACTTTAAGTTTTGGATACAGTGCAGAGGAGTTAAAACATCTGTCATGTGTTTATTGCAGTATGTGTCCCTGTTAGGGAAAGTATTTTTATTTGTAATGTTTGCCTACATTACCAAGAGTGAAAGAAAATCCTAAATTTTGAGTTGACACCAGGACAGGAATTTTTCTTCCAATGGTCACTAGTTCTGGTGACAGCCAGGGATTCCCTTACTTTGAAGGAATTTCCTCTCTCTTCATGTTTTGGCTATGGGACAGGATGTAAAGGAAAATCTCTCCAATGGAGCACATAACAAAACCTGACAAGGTTATACCCTCCCTTGCTGTATCCAAAATTCCAAAAGGGGTTTTTTTTTTTTTTTTTTTTTGCCTTCAGCTCTTTTCATAGAGCGCATGTATGCATGTGGATTTGGATTTCCAACACTTGCCCATAGGGTCTTGAATTTAATGAAGTTGTATAAAAATAGAAAAATACCAAAAGTTGTAACGTGCTAAAAATGAATGACTAAGCAAAATGATATAATTGTAACCATCTGAAAAACCCTACATATTTACTGCAAATATATTCAAACATTGTCTTTAATGTTCGGAACTGAGACATCTACAAAATGGGAGAAGAAAAAATGTTCTAGGGAGAAAATGGCTGGGGTACTCAACCAAAAAGTGTTAGCTGAAGTTGAGATTTAATTTGGATTCTGGCTCTAATTTAAAGTTCATTGTTAGAAGTGTAGCCAAAACTTTTTTGGCTATACTTATATGGATCACGGGTGCATTTTGTTCTGCAGTCCTGTGACCTGTTTTCAGCGGACAGCAGGCACAGAGGCTGTCCATTTTTGGTCAGAGTCCAGCTAGAAGCCTGGACTGGTGGCTGGCTCAGCCTCTCAGCTGCACTGCTAGCGCTGGCGGGGCAGATGATGACATACAGTCATGGCTCTCTGCTCATAACGGAGGGGATATCTGAGTGATCAGTGTTTGTTTGCTCAATTTTCAGTGTAGAGCCGGTGGGGTACAGATGCAGCATCGGATTAATGCTGTATACACCTAGGTGAGTATAGGGTGTTTTATATTATATATATTAAAAAAAAAAAGAAAAAAACAGAATCCTAGATCTTTCAATACTACATGTCTATCTAAGACTAACCTAAATACAAGGTGATGGCTATATCTTTTCTGTTGCAGTCACTCTGTTAAACAAAGTGGAAAAATTGTTCTAATGCTAGGAGCAACAGGTTTATGAAGCTTTATTACAGGGAAGTGTGTGTGTGTGTGTGTGTGTGTGTGTGTGTGTGTGTGTGTTTTTATTTTTTCAATGAAGAAGAAAAATCTTGTTTAAACCTACCTTAAAAGGAAGGAGGAGAGTGGAGGAAGCAATTTTTTCTTATCTTTATCTTCCATTTTAAGAAGAGATCTCTCCAAAGAAATGGCATCTTTCATCCTAAAGTGTTGTCACCACAACCGGATTCCCCAGTGGATGATTTCTGCTCCCTTTCTGTTACTGTAACAACTCAAACATTTTGGATTTCCCATCATTTTCCTTATCTGACACCATGGTCAATCAGGACCAACAGTGAGGGTGAATCTACCCAGCAGTTCCAAGTCCTCTCCACTCTATCCAAATTAACAGAAAAATTATGTTACATACATATACTTTAATGCTAGTGAAAAAACTGCAAAATGTAATTTAAGCATTGACGCTAGTATTGTGTTAAAATGTATCTAATGCTAAAGGTTATGTGCATTATGTCTTCCCACACCATTCCCATCCTCTGCTCTTGTCAGATTTCCATATCGAAGTACATACCATACATTCAGGCATAATGTGTCCAAGCACTAGCAACAACTTCTGAAGCTGTATGCATGCCTTGAAGAATAAAACTTTGTTTTAGTGGTGTCTGCAATTTCCTGTTTTTAATGACAACTCCTTTTGCTCCACGTTAAATAAGAATTGCTGTCTAATACATCAGAACCTTAACAATCTAAAACATCATGTCTTAATAGCAATCTGACTTTTGCAGGAATGCCACGACCTTCTAATCCGATATGACAATACAGACCTACGACTAGCCACGTGTGTAATCAAAGATGGAGGACCCTGGGAGGATCCTGTATTACAAGCTGTACTTAAGGGGAAATCTGAACCTCAAGACATTGGTGAGCAGTTTGCTTGGAGGCTAAAAACCTGGAAAACTGTACATTAAAAGAAGCTTAATATTTTTGTGCTCCTTAAGAGGAAACAAATATGCAAAATTAATATGCAGGTAACCTGTATCCTATGTATTGTCCCCGCCCATGAATTGGATTACTGCGCTTAGAATATATTGTTATACCCTTCTTCTATAGCAAGGAAAACCATATTTGGCTACTTTGCTGAGCTTTTGGCAACCACAAAAAAGGAACCGAAAACAAAGGAAATATTATGTAGAGATTTGTATGTCTTGGTTTACATATTGCTAAACATAAAGGGGAGAATTTATCAGAGTGGTAGCAGACAGAATATTGGGCAGCTGTGCATGTCAACCTATCCGTTTCTAGCTTTAGCATGTTCAAGCTTTGAAAATTTTAAAGATCGAATCTAATGGGTTACTATGCACAGCTGCTGCAAATTCTGATAAATTGTCTTTAAAAGAGTCTGACTACATATTCAATCAGTACTCATTAAGTACCCTATTTTGATTATCTTTCTTCTGCCAGTGTTTGGAAGGCAGCTTAAGCCCAGCTCTGCATAGAGTATAGCTTTCCAGAGTCCCACGTCCTTTACTTCCAGAGTCCCACGAGTCCTTGTGCAGCTTTTACTTTCATCAAAAAACATACATTTCCTAGTTGCTGCACTTGTACTTATTGTATAAAGTGTGAGTTACTTTTATAGGTTTGTAACATTTCATGTTGTTCAAGACTATTTGGCACTGAAACTGCAGAGAAGTCCTTGTTGTACTGTATAGTTTAACAAGGTCTCTATTCTGTTGGCTTTAGTCCTTTCTGTTGTTTATAAGCATTGTATAGGACTGGCCATACACATGTGGGTTTTTCTTGTTGAGCCCATAGATCCTATAGATTGCTCCATTAACTCCAAACAGCAGAGATGGAGGCATCTCCCCTGCTGGCCATCATATTTAAACATCTATGGCTATCTGAATACCCGAACAGTGATTGCATCTGATGGGCTCTAGTCACTGTTCAGCTGTCATCTTGCACCCATTTGACGTTTGTCAAGCCAGGTGATGGCAACAATTCCACTCTGTTCTCAGTCTTCACTGAGCAGAAAGTGGTGACTGTCAGTTACCTCTTTCTTTTCTGCCCCTCACTGGAGCACTGGGTTGTGGAGGCAGTGACATCCGCTGGCTCAGGCTCTCAGTGGCACGCTGAGAAGCTAAACCAGCTGATGGTCAGGCATCTGGGTGGATCCCGACAATAATATAGAGATCCATCCAGAGCCTGGACTGGTTGAATGTTGGCAGTGGCCTTTAACCTGTTGTCTGCTGAATCTGGGTCATAGGAGTGCAGAAATAAGTGCATTTCTGTGACCCAGGAAAGCATTATGGCCAAAGGTGTTTTGGCCATACTTCTCTTTTAAAACTTGCATTGCTTTTATTTACACTAAAATGTTTTACATTTCTTTAAGCAGTAGATATTTTTATTCTTTTCTTTTTTTGTTTTGTTTTTCTGAATTTTGATAATGGAGGGAAAATTCTGTTTTTATAAATGGTAATCAGGTTTGTGTGATTAGATATTCTGTAGGTTTACATCTGTGGTAATATCTTGTGGTTTCCTTTTTGTAGTGGACAAATACCTGGAGTCTGAGAATCAGCTGTTCTTTGAGTTCAGAGTGAGATACCTCATTGCCTGTGAACGCATTTCAGAAGCAGTGGCTCTTATTACAACCTGTCTGAGTCATCCGGAAGTCAGCAAAAATCTCTATTACCATCAAGCCTACTTCATATGCCTGCATATGACCAACTTAACTGATAAGTTGCTTCCTGAGGTATGTTGTTTAACCTTACTGAATGAAAAAACAATGTGCACATATTGGATTAGAATGGGACTCTTGGTGGATCTTCATAATGTCCTTTAACCCCCTCCCATCCCGCCGTTGTATATAAACGGCCGGACTGTGGCAGTGCAGGGTCGGGTGCCCTTTTCTAAAAGGTCTCCCTGCCCCCTGCTTGTGCGCGCTCCCTCCCTCCTCTGGACACCGTGGAACACGATTGTCGGACAAGACCTCTGCGAGGTTCCGATCATGTGATCACTGATTGGCCAATCAGTGATCACATGCAGAGTAGTAAGCAAGATGTCACTTCTGACATAATTGCTTACTACGTGTGAAATCTGTGAATGATCACAGAGGTCACGATACAAGGCTATTCACAACAGCCTTGTACCATGCGACAAGCTGTGACCAATCACAGTTCACACAGTAGTTCTCAATGGCTGCAAGAATGCAGCCAGAGAGGAGAAATGATTGCTTTTACAGCCTTTATGGGTGTAAAAGCAATCGGTGTAAAAAAAAAAAAAAAAAAACTTAATCACCCCCCACAAGTAGTACAGTGTCACCATGGTGACACTGTACTGCTAGGGTGACAGTATGTAAAAAAAACAAAATATAAAAAAAAGTTTAGAAATTTTAATTTTTGGTTATAAACTAATTTGGGATATATCCAAAGCAGTGTGCCTGAGCTGACGGGAGAACTGTTCGTAACCAAAACAAGTCTCCTTTTCGTCGGGACCCGATGATTAACGGCCGCTAATGACAGCGCGGGTAGGGCACGCGCGGCTCACTCCCCCTACCTGGAAATGCAAAAGTGTGTGTGTGTGTGATTTTGCGCACACATGCCACCCTGTAACAGTATTTCTGCTGTAGGGTGGACGGGAAGTGGTTAATGAGCAAAAAAATAAAAAATAATGAATTTTAAACAACTGTAGTATCAGGCTGAAACATAATAAAGCTGAACAAAGTGAAGGAGGTCTGAATACTTAATGAAGGCATTGTATGTGTTTTAGAGGTAAATTATCAGTTTTATTTTAATGGTTGCCATGTATACCTTGAGCTTGTAGAGCTACCACTGGCTTTATGCAGTCAAAGCTATATCATACCAAACTGAAGATTCAAGGTGACAAAGGAACTAGGAAATGATATTTCTGTTCACATAGAAAAGTGAACATTAACTGAGCTTAGTGAATTGGGTGAAGCTGTGTTGACCCAACCAAACCTTTGTTCATTTCCCCACACATATGGTTGGGTATTTAAAATTAACACATTGAGGATTTGTAATCTTGCAAAGCCCTGAAGTCATAATCTGTCCCTGTGAGGTCATAAACATGTCAGTGATGCACTGTTTCTTATGCTTTAAAAGCATTTTCACCAGCAGTCTTCTGTATGTGGAAGTCTAGCATTACTATTTAAAGTGATATTAAATCCTTTGGTTTTTAAGCACCTTAAGCAGCTGATTTGGTTGCTGAGTATTCAGCTTACTTTTCTTTTAATCCTTTCCTATATTCCAGTTTAAGCTGGTGCATGAGTTTTTCCCCAGATTACTTGTTTCAGGGTGGCTCCTTTCTCATGCAGCAGCCTATGGAGTCATCCTTGTGAGCAGGGACTAGAACTGTGCTCCCTACACTTTGCACATCAATAGAAGGCCCCATAGCCTAGAAAGAGAAGGCAGTCCCCTACTCCTCCCTCTACCCCATCTTCTGTCTTCTCCAAGCTAACACACAAACTGGAGACTGCAGTGTCCACTGTGAACTCTTTCCTGTGATGACCTGAAGTTTTGGGAAATGGCACTGAGAGCAGGGATCAGCAGCTTTGAAAGCTGTAAATAGCAAGTGATTGGCTAAGAATTTTAATAAAATTTCAAATAGTTTATTGGTGAATGTTTACTGTATTGTGCATAAAGTGGCGCTCCATCCAGAAGGGGAAGCTCCGCTTGTTTGGCCCCCCTCCCCACTGCCACATTTGGCACTTTTTGGGGGGAGTGGGTACCTGGTTGTGACCTGCTCCCCTCCTTTCCCCCACACTCTTCTGGGACACTTCACAGGTCCCAGAAGACTAGGATGAATCGGAGCGCTGCCCAACTCGGTCATGCGCAGTAGGAAACCCACTGTGAAGCCACAAGGCTTCATTTCTGGATCCCTTACTTTTCAATGCCAGCGCCAGGAACCCCGAGGCTAGTGAAGAACTAGCCCGGTTGATGACGGTGCTGGAACCCTGGACAGGTAAGTGTCCTTTATATTAAAAGTCAACAGCTACAGTATTTGTAGCTGCTGATGTTTCATATTTTTGGGTGGGAGCCTGTAACTCTTTTAATGTGCTCCATTATAAAACACTGAGTGTTTAAGTATCAAAGAGCGCTGTCTTTTGCTGTTCACTTCAGCACCCCGAAGAAAGAATATTCCTGTATGATGTGTGTGACAAATACCATTTTATACGAAATGGAACAAGATACCCGCCTGTTAGGGGAAAAATGTGTTTTTGTCAAGAGAAGCTATAGGGAAGTAAGAGGTTGGGAAATATCACTGGAATCACAGAGAGATGAGAAGCCAGAAGGCCTTCAGTTATTGGCAGATGCTGCCACATTTAAAGTATCCACTTTGACTAAACTGGCCCTTTTTAAATGCCATTATGAGTGGAGCTGGCATAATACTGTGACATAGATGACTATATAATGTACTGTTTTCACATTTTAGCATGTGCTGAGAATAGACGCCGGCGATGGTGTAAAAATCATCTGCAGAATAGAAAAAGAAGGGAAGACTCCTTTGGCACTGCAGCTGAGTGAAGCTTTTCTCGTAACACAGTTGCAGACTGGAAAAATGTATTGTATATGGTAAGTGTGAAACAAGTTGGACAGTTCTTGGTGACAGCCAATGGCTGCGAGATAGAATAAACGATGTGACTAGAGAATACTTGAGCTTATTATACATTGGACGAATGATCCTCTTTCTTTTGGCAGAGAAGTCCACATTTTAGGACTAATTGCCAGTTGAAAAATCACTGCACCTCTTCCATACATATTTTACATGCTGAAGATTGTCATTTACACCCTGGTCACACCAATCCCGACTTTTGAAATCGTGCAACTTCACTGTAAGTCGCACTATTTCAAATTGGATGACATGCTGATTTTCAGGTTCTATTTGCAAGACATCTTACACAGATGTCTATGCAAATTGCACCAAAAGTAGTGCATGTTCTACTTCTAGAAGTCTGAACTGCACCGATATGACCACTGTAATTGCGGACAGTAGGGTGCGACATGGCATGCGATTTCCAAATCGCATGCTATTCCGCATCCAGTGTGACCGGGGACTTAGGGTTTTATTCACACTTGTGTGGGGACCTTTGTTCCTCCTTCTTCTTCCTTTTTTTTTTTTTTTTTTTTTTTTTTTTTTTTTTTTTCTTCTCCCCCCCCCCCCCCCCCCCCCACTAGAGAAGCACCAGTCCCCTCAGGTGCATTTCCAAAAAAAGTAGCAAAAAGTCAGATCACCTTGGGAGTGTACAATTTCCCAAAAGGGGTCATTTTTGTACTGTGTTGGCATTTTCATTTAATTTTTATTGTTTTAGAAAGTAAAAGCGTGAGAATTTTGGCTTCTAATTTTTTTTTTTTTTTTTTTGTACCTTGTGTCGGAGGAGCTCACAACATGGTGTAAAAAACTTAGTTATTATATATCACCAGAAGAAAGCTTTATCTAGCTCAAAAATGATATAATAATTTTGGGTACAGCTTTGTGTGTAGAGTAATTGTGAAACTATCACAACACTGAAAAATTGCCTTGATGGGAAGGGGGTGGGGTGGTGGTAATATGCCACTACTGAAATGGATAAAGAAGCATTTGTATGGCTTTTCTAGATGTCAATTATCAGTCATCTCCTAACTAATATACTGAAGAATCTAACATTCTGCTATTTGCAGGGATTTGATTTTCATATGGACTAAACTTCAGTTAAAAGTCAACCCTTCAAAAGAAGTATTTGTAGAACAATGCTACAACATGCTGAGGATTGCTGCCAATGTTAAGGTCATCTTTCCCTTCATGAAAGCCATCAGAGATGAAGTAAGTGCATATAAGGTTTAACATTTGATTTAAACCTAAATCTATTGTTTGCCCCTTACCAGGCCACATATACCACCTGGATGCAAGCCAAAAGTCTACACTTTGATAAAAAAAAAAAGGATTGTGACCCCAACAATTTGGAGCATTCAGTTGAATTTGTGTACCCTAACTGCATCTCACTACTGCACGCTGTGGTTCCACCTGCCAGTCACCACATCACTGTTGTGTCCCTGCAGCTGTGAATTTGACAAATTAGTGATGTAACTTCCAGCAGGTGTAACCTCGGTGGGTTAACGTGGGAATCCGACACACCCAAAGTGTTGAAAGCTGAAGATTCTAATGAAGCATTGGTGCACCGTCCTAGTTCTCAAACCCTGCTTTTTGAACACGTCCCTTCACATCTGCCCTAGTTACACAGCAATAAAGCCTTCTATACTTTATTTATAAACTTACAGCAGAGTTAAAACCTATATTTATTTCTTTTAAACTGTATGTATATTGAATGAGAAGTGTCACTTGTGCTTATGGCTGCTGTCTTAAAGTGGAGTTCCACCCAAAAGTGAAAGCTCCACTTATCTGCCTGCCCCACACCCCCACATTTTGGCTCCCACTTCCGGCTTAGTCAAGGTGACGGAACCAACACTCAACAGCCGACTTAAGAATTGGCTTGGGGTGAGGACGCAGCTGGATGTGTGGACAGGTAAGTATGACAGTATTTGTAGCCACTGACTTTTTTTTTTTGTTTGGAGGGAGGGTGGGGGCAAACTCCGCTTTAAGCTGGTCATAGACAATGCTATTTTTGTTCTTTTTCCTGCAATCTCCTATGGACACAGTCAGTGTTGATGGGGGAATACCTCCCTCAGAGCTGTTGTGTTCTCCCAGTGGGGAGGTGCAAGAGGCGGAGGGGAGCTGCCAGGAGAACAGTGACTTTTGCTAGCGCTATAGTCACTGGCAATAAACGCATGAAAAAATCTGACAGGCCGGTTCTACCCAAGTTGTACAACAATCAAACTTGGGTGCAATCACCCTGCTGAATCGGCCTAGATTCGATCCATTTATGGCCAGCTTTAGTTGAAATCTTCCATCCCCTGCACCCCTTCCCCATACCCCCACAGTTGTAATATTCTAGTGGATCTTTGTGTATGTGCTACTGCAAACACCTGAAGTATATGTGCACTCTCACACAGACATTTTCATCTAGGGAAACCTATAAGTATCTAGATCTTGTGCTTGTAGATTTTGATTTATTGCTAGACTTTTTTTTTTTTCTTCAATATAGTAAAAGAAAAAAGAATAAACATTTGACAAGCAGAAAATAAGTGGTGGTGTGATCTTAATGGAGGTAGATTCTTAGGACCTAGGTAAATTATATCTGTGGAGTTTAGTTTTTAATTTTATTTTTTTCAGACTGGAGATAGATTTTTAAGTTCACTTTTCACAACATGTTACATCCATGTTCAGGGTGTAACCGGCAACATGTTATGAAAGGACAAACCCCCACCTCTCCCCATTCCCCTGCTTTGACAACTGATGGGGGATTTTCCTCCCCCCACTAGCTGTCAGAATATTAGAATTGTGGCTGTGCGGGGCTCTCGCTGCTTGCCCGCATTACTCATTTACAGTATTCTGTGAATGAGAAGACTACAAGTCCTGACAGCTTTAGTGGCTGTTGGCTTGTAATTCTCAATTACCTACCACAGCTCTGTGGCAGTTCTTTGATTCTTCCTGTCAGTGTGTATTAGCTTGCTTGTACAGGATGTATTGGCAAGCAGATATACTGACAGGTCTGCAGGACACCTGCATGGCACTAGCGATCTGATTGCTGGTGCAATGCTTTATAGGCTCCTACAACAAAAATAAATGCACAATTTTTTTGCCTGCAAAAATGTGCATTTATTATTTTTGTCAAAAGGTGAACTTATCCTTTAAATCCTCTTTTTGCATGAGAACAGAGGAAGCTTTAAAAAAAAAAAAAAAAAAAAAAAAAAAAAAAAAACCCTTAGAATAAATAAAATACCGTAAATATTACTGAAGTGTTTTTCGTTTCAGGTTGGTGAAGCTGGCGTTCAGCTGTCGGTGGAGCTGTGTGGATGTGCACTACAATTGGATCTTCAGAATAATCCTGAAACAAAATCTTTAATTTATAAAACCCTAGCTTTCCTGTTCCCCACTGACTTGGAGATTTGCAGAATCTGTGCACTGTCTGTTTTCTTTTTGGAACGCACTGTAGAATCCTACAGAGATGTGGAACGTTTGTACAAATACTCCGATGAGGATTATAATGAGTTTAACAGCTACGTGGAGAACAGGGTGCGTTTTGAATTACTTCCTATCTTGAAAAGAGGCTTATTATTTGATCCAGAATTCTGGAACTTTCAGATGATTCAGCAAAACTGTGCAGAACTTCTTGGGGAAAAGGCTGCCTTGGTTCTAGGTACACCAGAACAACTGAATAATGTGTTGGAGCCAGGTTTGCCCCTGGATGACTCTGTGATGAAATTACGTAATGGAGTATTGAAGCACAAAGAAGGAAGCAGTAAGCTAAGACTGTCTTTAAATTCTAGAAGGGATCATACAATGCCCAGTCCTAAACAAACAGAGCATAATGTTCCTAAGCATCCCTGCATTTTGTGCAATAAAGAATTTTTAGGTGGTCACATATATAGACATGCACAGACCCATCACGAAGGAGGCTTCTTTACATGCGTTATATGCGCCAGGAAGTTCAGGAATAAAATAAACATGCTTCGACATTTAAAACATCATGTAAGGAAAATGCAAAGGCTTTCAATGGTGAAATCTTCTGATGCTTCCTCAGATAATGCTATCCAGGTTTGTTCAGATATCAGTGAAGTTAACTCATCAGAAGAGTCATCCGTGGCTTTGGAAAATGGCAACTCTAGTAGTTCGACCAGTGAAGGCTTGAACATCCTTCAAAGTCAAGAGACTGCAGTGGAATGCATGATACCAGGTGAAAACCACCTAATGGACCATAATATAGAACTTTTACATCATTCAACAGCTACCCAGACCTCTTTCTCCACTGATGTTAGTAATACAGATGATGTGGGCTGCTGTACTAGGTGAAATAGAAGCAGGGGAGGAAAAGTCTGACCAGGACTTGACTGAATGCATTAAACTAAATGGGTCTGTCTTTGGTAAAGGAGACCCTGACGTCAGCCACCAGGTTAACTACCAGTGTCCTGCTCAGGGATGTCACCGTGTATTTCAACGTGTAAGGGCTTTGAACAAGCATGCACGGAAAGCCCACCCATCTGATGAAAAAGTACAGCAACACATAATGGCATGGAATAAGGGCAAATGCCGGTTCTGCCAGAGAAAGTTTACCAATGGTAGGCATTTCATTGACCATTTAAAGAAACACACTTACCCGAATGTCTATTTTTGCCAGCAGCAAAGCTGCAATAAAAACTTTAAGTTTGTAACTCAGCTTGCAGAGCACCAGTTAAGCCATGAACCTCTAATGGTTCAGTGTGGCTTCATAAACTGCACTGAGGTTTTCGAACAAATCTCTTCCCTTTATGAGCACGAAGCTCAGCACTATGAACAAAATGGCAGAGAGGTTGGAACCTCTTTATCAAATGAAGAGCCAGTAAGTGATGTTCCTGTACATAGCACGCCGCAAGCGGACACAGTGAACAGTCAGCGGCTTACAGCAGCTACTAAAAAAGAACAGACTGTCAGTGAAGAAATGGTAGACTTACCAGTCCCCAGCTGGAAGTGTAGAAAAGAAGTCCTAGAACCAAAGACCTATAAACAGACTGAGAAAAAAATTAACGGGGAAGTGCAAACAACTGAGCAAACTCTGGAAACGAGTTGTAAGGATTCAGAAATCAACAGTGGGCAGGAGACAGTTCAGGAATCAAAGGTTGTTGAGGAACAAATTCCAAATGGATTTAATGTGCCGGAACAATCTGTTTCAGAAGCAGAAACACCAGTAACATTGGACAGCACTGCAGAAACTGATACGGACAAAACACTGCATTCAGATACGACAGAGGACGCTGAGCAAAAAAGCAGTGCAGTTGAAAGTTGTCCTGGTGACTCAAAACCAAATCAGCCGGCTAAATCGGCGCCATATGGTTCAGGTGGTACACGGCTCTATAGCAGGCCCTTGCCTCCTAGTTACCTAGACGAACAGTACATTAGCATGCCAAAACGTAGAAAAAGTAGCCAGGATCACATTAATGAAAAGCCTTCTGAGTCTAAGACATCAGTGGAGAGACTGAGATGCGGGAAGTGCCTAACGAACTACTGTAGCTCAGAAGCACTTGAAGAGCATCTAGCACAAAAGAAATGTCAGCTGTATTTTGGGTTTGACTCAGATGATGAAAGTAAGTAGTGTGAATGCACAAAATGATTTGGTATGGTTTCTAATGCCATTTGTCAAATGAAAGTTGGTATAAAGGATTTTGAGCAACCAAAAGCAAGTACACACAAGCATTCAAATTGTCACATATAGAAAGGGCCCTCCTGAAATGTGCAAGTATTTTGACAGTCCTGAAAGGCAAAGTCAGACTTCTGGGTAGTGTCAGCATTTTCTTCTACTGCCCCCTTCCTCTGCCACATTCCTATTGCCCCATCATTGATGGGCTGTCTCACCAGCAATAGAAATGTTTGGGAGGTGACAGTCGAGCTCCATTGCTGCTAGGAATGTATAAGGATAAGGTATCTTGATGCTCGTTTATAACATTCTTGTTTCTATAAATATTGAAACTGGACACAGCCAGACAACTGGCACCTTTAGGGGCTCCTTGACGCTGCTCTGTAACCAAAACTGCCGCTGCCTATTCAACGTTTAGGGCTGCAGAGCCATGTGCTGGGTGGTTTAATGTGTGTTTTATTGCATCACACTGCTCCATTTTCTCTTCTTTTGTTTGTTTCAACTTTATATAAAGTGTACAGACACTTCATTCAATTGCTGTGCAATGGCATGGGGGACCATGCGAAGCAGTGCGATTTATTATGCAAACATACTGCATAATGTAGCAGCACTCTGGAATGCAGTGGAATGCTTCCTTCTGGTCTGAACATGACACACAGAAAACTATTTTGTGTCATTGCAGTCGCCTGTGAGGAAAAATGCAGAAACTGCACCTAGGATGAATGGACCCTTAGATGAAGGCCAGCAATGGCAGCACTCATGCTTCTAAAAGCTAAACCTAATAGCACTGGTGTGTCTGTCTGTCTGTCTGTCTGTCTGTCTCTAAGTAAGATGAACTAAAAAAAATGTCCTAACCTGTGGGGGGGGGCGGGGGGCTTTGTATTTTATTTTGCAGAATTGTTTCTGACAAAAAAAAATTATGTGCACTTTAAGAAAAAGAAAAGTCTGCCTGTTCTTTGAACACAGCCCATTTTCATTAGTTGCTGGTTATGGTTATATAATCTGCAAGCTTGATTTTTAGCAAAATAGAAAAAAAGGAAACCGTGATCAGTTTTCATAGGAATGAATGTGTTCCCTGCTATCCTAAACTTTTCTGTTTTTCCTTTAAAACTGTTGTATCGTATATGGGTTTTATTATGTAACCTTTCTGTATGTCATACTTGAACTTCTTTTTAAATTTTCGTACAAATTAAATATGGGTTTCCAGACGTGTATTAATGTGAATAAGAAGTCCATACACGCTTCAAATCATAAAGCCTTTTCCACTGTCTCTCCCATTATCATAGTAACTTATGTACCTTCATTTTTTTTTGTTGGTGGTTTACAAAGTCTCTATGGCCTTATTAACTGCTGGTGTTATGGTTCACATAGTTAAAATACATACACACACATACAGGTCCATTAATATTTGGACTGTGACACAATTTTCATAATTTTGGCATGGCACACCACGACAATGAATTTGAAACAAAGCAATTAAGGCGTGATTTGAAGTTTAACCCAGGTGGTTTAGCATAAACGTTGTTATGAATTACAACCATTTTTATACAATTCCTACACAAGTCAAACTGTAATTGAATGGTATTAAAATTACCTTTTACGTCTCAATCTGCAGTGCTATAATCTTCTGTAAAATTCAATGCAATTGGGCAACTTGGAGGTAGTGTTTATACAGTTGGTGTACAGAACACCCCAATAAATGTAATTTTGTACTTGTATGATTGGCTTATCAAGAAGAGAAGTCTGCACTAAGATACAAGTCAGATTTTAGGCATCCTCTGCAGCAAAAATATTCTTTTTGGTGAGATACCCCCAAAATGTTCACTTGCCAACCATGCTATAGCCAAAAGACGTCTACAGTGCAGTCAGCTAGTTCTGGGAGGGCTGCGGTAAAGGGCCAATCAAAACGGCCCTTTTATCATGTGATCAGCTATGTCCATTCACAGCTGATCTCAATGTAAACAAACTTGCCGGAATTCCTTTGCTCATACAGTGTCACAGCTTGAGAAGAGGAGAGACAGTGACCAGCAATTCAGACGGCACATTTACACTGATAAATCGGGCACTGATTATCAGTGCAGCCCCATCAGCACACATCAGTGAAGGAGAAAAATGTACTTAATTTCAAAATTTTATAACAGCAACTAAGAAAAACATGTTTTGTTTTTTTTTTTTTCTTTTTTTTTCAAATTGTTTGTCTTTTTTGGTTTAGCAGAAAATAAAAAAAACCCAGTGGTGATTAAATACCACCAAAAAAAAGCTCTATCTGTCTCAAAAAAAAAAAAAAAAAAAATCCTATGGGTACAGTGTTGCATGACCGCAAAATTGTCATTCAAAGTGCGAAAGCACTGAAAGCTGAAAATTGACCTGGGCAGAAAGGGGGTAACAGTGTCCAGTATTGAAGTGGTTAATAATGAAAGTCACTCCCATTCTTTGTTGAAAATCATTTTGCATTAAATTACTGTCTATAGTCTGTAATCCAATGGACATCACCAATTGCTGGGCTTGCTTCCTAGAGGTATTTTCCAAGCCTTCACTGTAGCTGTCATCAGTTGCTGCTTGTTTGTTGATCTTTCTGCCTTTCATCTTCATCAAGGGAAAGACAGAGCTCCATTGAGTTTAGGTTAGGTGACTGATTCAGCGACCGAAGAAAGATCTTAAGTTGCTTTCACAGTATATTTTGTGTGATTGTCCATCTATACTCTGAAGGGCTGTACTAACAGTTTTCAGCAATTGGCTGAATCTAAGCTGATATCAAAGCCCTTATATGCTTCAGAATTTGTCCTGTTGCTTCTGTCATCCGTTATCGATAATAGCAGTAGTGACAGTATTGTTGGCAGCCATACATGCTTGTACCATAACACTGCCTCCGACATCTTTTACAGATTGTGGAGTGCTATGATTCATGAGCTATTCCTCCACTTCTCCATATTCTTCATTTCCCATTGCGCTAGTAGGTTGTAATGTCAGTTTCTGAAGAATATTGTTCCAGAACTGGGAAGGAATTTTAGATGTTTTCTGGCAAAGTATAATCTGGCCTTCCCATTCTTCAGACTTGGTTTGCATCTTGAGGTGAACATCTGCTTCTCTTAATTGTAGACATTAACAATACTATGCTTACCTCCCAGAGAGTGTTTGTGACTTGGTTAGATGTTATGAAGGTGTCTGTCTTCATAACAAAAAAAAAATCTATAATCATCCAGCATACCTGTCTTCCATAATGGTTGTTCAGATATTTTGGTGTTGCTAAGCTCACCAGTATATTCCTTTTTTATAGCAAATTGATTTAGTCACTCTGATAAGTTTGTTTTGTGTTTTCAGCCGAATACTGGTCTGCTTTACTTTCTTATACAATTCTTTGGTCCTCAAAATGAAGTTTTCAAATGCACATTCCACACTTGGAATCAACCGCAGACCTTTTACCTACCTATCTGTTTATGTATTGTGGGAATTACTGACACCTGCCCATGGCTTTTCAGTCAATTGTCCAATTACGTTTGGTCCCTTCTGAAGGAGGGGACTACTTTTTTATAAAAAGTGGTGTAACTACTAAACCAAATACCTAATAGTGATGTACAGCTGCAATTTCAGCCCTCGTTCACTGAGAATATGCAAACTGTTCTGAATACCACCCGTGCCAAGCTAGCTACCACCTGTATGCTCCACCTCACTTTCTGTTGATGCCCTGGAAAAAGTCATGACACAAATTTCTAAAATGGATCTAATTTCTGTATGTGCAGAATCCTATGGCTAAAAGCCTGGTTAGCTGCAGTTACCTGTAAAATACTCCTCATTCGTTTGCTCTTTGAAGGAGGAGATGTATCTTTCGTGATGGAGTTGACAAGGTCCATTAAGGATGTCACAGGAGGGCTCCAAAACTCCGCTCTTCAGGGGTTTCTGCCTCCTCAAAACAGACAGCACCCCATCTCTCTTCTCAGGATTAATCTTCAAAGCCAAAATTCAGCCATTCCCTTTGGCACAAAATTTGGAACATAATTCCCACCAAGTCTACTTCAAAGACTTCTTCACAATGAAGGGGTGCCCTCAGTCCTAAGATCAAGACGAGGTCTGTTAGAGTTTACATTCCTCTGGATCACAGACATCCCATTCAACCAGTGGTTTCAAAGAGGTACGAAATAATTTTAAACACTACTCCCTCATGGTTTTTTTTTTTTTTTTTCTCTAAAATCAATCAAAGTTTCAAATTAAATCTGCAAGGTCAGTTATTTCCTCTCAGTTAAAAGGGGATTACTTGGCTTTAGTGGACATCAAAGATGCCTACCTCCATATTCCCATGTACCCACCTCATCAGTGCTTTCTATGCTTCACAGTAGAAAACAAACCCTTTCGATTCATAGCACTGCTGTTTTGGCCTTTCCTCTGCGTATGGGGTATTCGCAAAGGGGCTCGCACCCCCTACTCCCCATTTTAGGTATTCAGGGCATCCAGGTGACAGGGTCCATAGATGGCCTTCTTCTGAAGTATCCATCTCCCTCAAAACTGTCTGCAGATATCCAAAGGACTATTGATATTATTTAGGCTTTTGATTGTGTAACCATCTTTCAAAAGGCTAACATTTTACTTCTAGGAAACCATTTTCTCTCTAAAGTCTCAGACCTTAAGATCTAAAAGACATCCCTCCATGAGTTTCTTAATGAGAGTGCTGGGCCTCAAGGTTGCTTCATTTTAAAGCTTTCACTTTGCTCAGTCCCACTCAAGGTCTCTCCAGCGTAATATTTTTTTTGGTCTGGAACAGACGCTCTTCTCAACTCCCCCATGTTTCTCTCGTGTTAAAAGAACTCCCAAGTTTGGATTCCAATCCACCCTTGGAAATGGTGAATTTGTTTCTCCCATACTCTTGGAAAAAGGTAACTACAGATACCATCCTCACAGGCTAGGGAGAACTGTTCCTATCTCTCACGGTTCAGGGAACCTAGTCACCCAGGGAAGCAAAGCTC